GCTTGGTGAATGTTGTTTACGTAGATCAGAAACAGCAACGAACCAAGAATTGAGCCTTGTGGTACGCCACATGTTAGAGGCTTGCGACTACTCTGGTAGTCTCCAATTTTTCAATCTGATACCGATCATCCAAATATTATTTCTGCATTTTGTATACGTTTCCAGTAATGTCAATACGTTCCAATTTTTTTAGTAGTATGGAATCTGACCGTGACGAAAGCCTTTTTAAATCAACAAAAACACCTAAAGCAAACTGTTTTTGATCAATTTTGGTTTTAATAGTGGTTACTAAATCTATAGTTGCGCCAAGGGTGTTAGATTTGGGTCGAAAGCCATATTGTTGGTTATACAAAAAGTTGATTTTAGTAAGGTAGTCGTCCAATCTAATGTAAATAATTTTTTCAAGAATTTTGGAGAGTATTGGCAGAACTGAAACTGGTCGATAGTTTCCGGGATTTGTTTTTGTACCGAACTTGTGCACTGGTGTGACTTTAGCGATTTTTAAGCTTTCTGGGAAGACTCCTTCATTTAAAAGTTTGTTAAGGCAATCATTCAGATTATGAATTATATAATTTTTATACACTTTAGGACTTTAGTACTTATACCATCAATACCTGTGCTCGTATTTGAATCCAAGTCATCTACGATTTTAGATACTTCATTAGCTGTGCATGGGGACAATCGGGATAGCTCATGATGAGCAGTTGTTAGGTGTAGATTAGGTAATGTGTATGTATCGTTGTTATGAAACTTGTCTGGTATTTCATTTGCTAGTTGTATACCTATGTTAGCGAAGAAACGATTAAAGGTTTCACATACCTCTATGGGGTCCGTGGTCACTATTCCGTTTTCATCTGTAAGGTTTGGGGGAACACAATTACTTAAAATTTTGTTATTTGCTAGATTATTAATTAATTTCCACATTTTTTTGGAGTTTTTGTACATTTCATGAATTCTCCGTAGAAATACTTCTGTTTTGTATTCTTAATCGTTTGTGCAAGCGTGTCTCTCTTAAATTTAAAATCTAGCTCTGGGTTATTATTTTTAGGATTTTGTTTAAATTTATTCCATGATATATTCCTTTCATTCATCTGAGCTATTATGTTGCTATTAATCCATTTTTTTGAGGTTTGTACAATATTTTATACTTTTTTGTTTAACTTTCGGCAGTTATTCCTATAATAAGTTCTTCTAGAATATTAAAATTACAGGAAATATTTTCAAATTTTGATAATTCTATAATTTTATTTAATTTACCATAATCAGTCGCTTCATTCACTATTTTTTGTTTTGGTGGAGGCATTACTCTTTTTATTTCTAAGTACCTGTTTTTATGATCCGATAGGGCTGATTCAATGATAGCCATATGAAAATTGTTACATTTCAAGTTAGTAGAAACATGACCAATAATTGTTTTTGTAGTTGTTGTTTCCCGAGTACAGTACTCAGGGCCTATTTTGTTTATAATTTTGTATCCAGATTCCGTAAGCATAGTTTTATAACGTTTTGTCATACTGTCAGTACATAACGGATCTATATTCGTGTCTCCAAAGATTAAAGTCCTCTTTTTTAGCAGAAGCTGTTTTTCGAAGTTACATAAAATATTATTAAAGTTTGAATGTCCAGGCTTGCACACAACCCCAACATTGAGTGCATACTTATAAATATATATACTCAGATAGTTGTTACCTCCAGTATAGGATGCTGTTGACAGCTTATGTTTCAAATCATCATGGACATATATCGATACACCCCCACCAACTTTACCAGGCCTGATGTTATAGTAGTGTGAATAATTTTGTATGCGAAATTGTTGACCTTGTTCTTCAGATTATATCCACGTTTCAGTCAGTTTTTTGATGGAGTGCAGGACACACTTAAATTCATCAAATTTACCTGATCTACAGATGCTTCTGATGTTAGCATAGAAAAAAATGTATATGTAGTCCTTACGTTGACGTGCATAGATAAGTCTATGCCCTCGGAGTTAGAACCCTTCCTCTTTCAACATTATTATTGTTATCATATATATATATATATATATATATATATATATATATATATATATATATATATATATATATATATATATATATATATTTTTTGCACAGAAAAAACCTTCGGTTTCCCCGAAGAGGCCAAAACGTAGCCAGTTGAGGGAGGCGATTGTATCTACGAAGGGCTCGTCAGTGTTATTATTATTGTGGGGTATCTATATAGTTTCTCATCTGGTTGGGTTCTATAAATATATAATTATAAATGAAAATGAAAAGATAAATATACATAAATATCAATAACATAAAATAAATATAAAAGTACATAAATAAATAAAAACCCAACCAGATGGAGGCCCTCGGCAGGGGAGACCAAACGGCCGAGGGTTAGGGGGAAAGGGAAAGAAACCGGCGGACGATGCGGGCGGTATCGAGGAGCACCGCCTTCTGCATTTGAGCCTGGAGCGGTCCGCCACGTAGTCCCAGCCGCCTCAGATGACCCGAGAGGCTGACTGGGATTAGCCCATTCGCAGAGACGACTACAGGAATAATTTCGGTCGGCAGACCACCCCACATGTCGCCAGGAGCCAGGTCCAGATATTTTGTTTGCTTATCTGTTTCGGCTTTCACAAGGTTCTCGTCATACAGAACGGTAATGTCGACCAAAAATATCCTTGACTGTGCCCGGTCCATCAGCAGAATATCAGGCTTATTCGCAAGAATAGTCCTGTCTGTGATGATGGCCCGGTCCCAATAGAGCCTGGCGCGATCATTTTCGAGCACGGCTTCCGGCAAGTACTTGTAATACGGCAATTTCCGATCCACGAGACCGTATTTCAGAGCGAGCTCCTGGTGTAGAATTCTGGCTACTAGGTTGTGCCTGTGCAAGTACTCAGAGTTAGAAAGCGCCGAACAACCGGAGATAACATGCCTAAGTGACTCACCGGGATGGCGACAAGCTCGACGGATTCGACGGTGCCATCCTTTAGGATGTATCTCCGATAGTTGTTGGTCTTAATAACCTGATCCTGTATTGCACAGACAAAACCCTCGGTTTCCCCGAAAAGATCACCAAAGCGTAGCCAGTGGAGGGAGGCTACTGTGTCTACGAAAGGCTCATGTAGAGCCTTGTAGAACCTCCCGTGAAGCTCCTTCTCCTTCCATACGGTCTCCCGGTCGGAAATGCTCTGCACTGCCGGGTCTTGCCATTGCTCGTTGGCTCAGGATAGAGGGGTAAGTCCTTTATCGCAAGAAATGACGTCCTTATAGAATGGATCATCCGATCTCGCCAGGAAGTAATCACAGAGGCTGCACACTTCGCGATTATGCATGGTAAGCGCGCTCAAGAAGCCATGACCACCATGCTTCCGCGGCAAGTACAGCCTCATTACCGACGATCTCGGATGATGCATCCTATGGGACGTCATGGTAGTGCGGACTTTTCTATCCAGGGCGTTAAGTTCAGTCTGAGTCCACCTGAGTATGCCAAAGGTATACATGAGGACAGGCATGACCCAGCCGTTATATGCGTGTGCCTTATTCACACCCATAGAGAATATAACCACTAGAGAGCGTATAGGCAGATTTCTTCTAAATACACGACTCACTACTGCGGGCCGGGGGACGAGGAAGAACGCGTGTCTGCGAATGGTCAAGTTGCTTTGTTATGGCTATCTTTAGGGTTGCTCTTTTTAATAAAGGAAAATATTCGTTATCGATAAAATGGATTTTATCATTATGAAAAATACTCAATTAAAATCATAGAAATAATATTTAATCAAAATCAATCAGTTACAACGAAAATATGTATTTATTTTATTATTATTGATTTTTGAAATGAATTAATTTGTTATATTTATTTCGAAATAAAGTTTAAGGGTCCTGATTGTTCTTTGTAAAAAAATATAAACAAGCATCTACATATTTGTAAATTATGCATCTTGCTAATTCAATTAAATGATTTGTTGATTCTATTTAAAATTGATGAAAATGAATATACGGGAATCAATAATACTTAATCAGAGATTTTAAAACCGTTCTCATAAAATAATTAGTATTATATTTTGGAGACAGCACTTTTGAACCACTCTCATTGATCGCCCTCTTATTGAAAATTTTACAACGACGACAAATATCTATTATTGTAGTGGATCCGTACAATAACTTGTCTTTAGTGTCCTTTTGCAATTGTAAGCCGTTCTGATTTGGTACACCAATCTAACTAATTTAACAATACAATACAATACACTCTTTATTGTACACCAACAAAACATAAATATAACAAATAATGAACAAACAATGAGGGAAAAACAACAGGCGGTCTTATTTCTCCGTAGCAATCTCTTCCAGACAACCCAGAAGAGGAAATTAATAAAAATAAAAATAAGATTAACGGGTAGGGTGCACTAAATTAGACAAAAAAATACAACTTATATACTATAAAGTGACAACATACTTAAGGTATATTAGTGACCATAACTAAGAGGAGGAAGAGAGAGGAGTTAAAGAGACAAATAGTGTTCCTTAATTTGTTCCTTGAACATATTTAAAGATTGAGCACTTTTAATGGACTGGGGTAAGGAGTTCCAGAGTCTTACTCCAAGGAAAGCAAAAGATTTATTATAAAATGACGAGGAGTATACGGTAATATATTAACAGTAATTTAACTAGGTAACTATAAACTTTAACTAGGAAAAAATACCGACAAACTGATAACCTTCTCTTTTTTTCTGAAGACGGTTAAAAGTAGATAAGTATTTTTTCACAGTGAGTGAATTGAATAATCTTTTTATTAATTTTAATTTTATTATTTTCGATATCGACTTTCAGCTATTAAAGGTAACAGTAAGTACTAATGTTTACGATAAACGTACAAAGGGAAAGAAAGAGATAGAAGCATTAGAATTGTCTAATAATAGAACGAGACTTTTCCAAAAGACATCAACGCGCGACTCAACCATGTCGTTATTTACCCGGCCACCGTTTTAGATAGACCCCTGCGGTGGCTCATAATCTGAATTAATCAACAGTAATTTTCATATTTTAAAAAACTATATAAGTAAACTTAGCAATGAAAAGTTACTCCATTCTTTTTGGAAATCTGTCCTAGAATGTTTCCCACACCACTTCACCGCGCATGAAGGCATTTTGATGCATTATAATTGCATAAAAGTTATAAAAATTTGCATTAATTTAACGTACACACAGGTCTAACACTTGGACAATACTAAAATGGTTAATAGTACCATAGGCGATGCATAGGCGACAAAATACTAATAGTTTTCGAGCGTCGGGGCATTGTATGCGCAGTCAAGTGGTTATATAGTCTTTGTTCACACCGGACAAAAGGCTGTTAAGCACTTTGGTCAAGCGTGCATAAAACACGTCGCAAACTGACTGTTTCATACCAGTCTCATCGATACTACTGTAGTACTGAGAGGGTTCAGAGAGAGGCAGAACCAGATTGGACTCAGACAATCGCCCTGGAAGATACCCCTTCTTATCCTTATGTGGTTCTCCGCAGCCATCATCCACTCGCCCAGATGACAAAGGATCGTACTCCACTTATTATTATTATGTGGGGTATCTATATAGTTTTCTCATCTGGTTGGGTTCTATAAATATATAATTATAAATGAAAATGAAAAGATAAATATACATAAATATCAATAACATAAAATAAATATAAAAATACATAAATAAATAAAAGCCCAACCAGATGGAGGCCCTCGGCAGGGGAGACCAAACGGCCGAGGGTTAGGGGGAAAGGGAAAGAAACCGGCGGACGATGCGGGCGGTATCGAGGAGCACCGCCTTCTGCATTTGAGCCCGGAGCGGTCCGCCACGTAGTCCCAGTCGCCTCAGATGACCCGAGAGGCTGACTGGGATTAGCCCGTTTGCAGAGACGACTACAGGAATAATTTCGGTCGGCAGACCACCCCACATGTCAGTCACCTCGTGAGCCAGGTCCAGATATTTTGTTTGCTTGTCTGTTTCGGCTTTCACGAGGTTCTCGTCATACGGAATGGTAATGTCGACCAAAAATATCCTTGACTGTGCCCGGTCCATCAGCACAATATCAGGCTTATTCGCAAGAATAGTCCTGTCTGTGATGATGGCCCGGTCCCAATAGAGCCTGGCGCGATCATTTTCGAGCACGGCTTCCGGCAAGTACTTGTAATACGGCAATTTCCGATCCACGAGACCGTATTTCAGAGCGAGCTCCTGGTGAAGAATTCTGGCTACTAGGTTGTGCCTGTGCAAGTACTCAGAGTTAGAAAGCGCCGAACAACCGGAGATGACATGCCTAAGTGACTCACCGGGATGGCGACAAGCTCGACAGATGTCCACGGTGCCATCCTTTAGGATGTATCTCCGATAGTTGTTGGTCTTAATAACCTGATCCTGTATTGCACAGACAAAACCCTCGGTTTCCCCGAATAGATCACCAAAGCGTAGCCAGTAGAGGGAGGCTACTGTGTCTACGAAAGGCTCATGTAGAGCCTTGTAGAACCTCCCGTGGAGCTCCTTCTCCTTCCATACGTTCTCCCGGTCGGAAATTGTCTGCACTGCCGGGTCTTGCCATTGCTCGTTGGCTAAGGATAGAGGGGTAAGTCCTTTATCACAAAAAATGACGTCCTTATAGAATGGATCATCCGATCTCGCCAGGAAGTAATTACGGAGGCTGCACACTTCGCGATTATGCATGGTGAGCGCGCTCAAGAAGCCACGCCCACCATGCTTTCGCGGCAAGTACAGCCTCATTACCGACGATCTCGGATGATGCATCCTGTGGGACGTCATGGTAGTGCGGACTTTTCTATCCAGGGCGTTAAGTTCAGTCTGAGTCCACCTGAGTATGCCAAAGGTATACATGAGGACAGGCATGACCCAGCCGTTATATACGTGTGTCTTATTCACACCGGACAAAAGGCTGTTAAGCACTTTGGTCAAGCGTGCATAAAACACGTCGCAAACTGACTGTTTCATACCAGCCTCATCGATACCGATGTTCTGTGACATACCCAGGTATCGGTATGTTTCAGCCTCGGAAAGGGTCCTTAAGTTGACGGGCATAGATAAGTCTATGCCCTCAGAGTTAGCAACCCTCCCCCTTTCAACATGGAGGACCGCACACTTATCCGTTCCCAGCTCCATTCCAATAGAATTGCTAAATTCACAAGTGATGTTTAGTAATTCCATAAGATGGGAGCGACTGGAGGCGAATAACTTGAGGTCATCCATATAGAAAAGGTGGGTCACTTTTGTACCTCCTTTCCGAAGCTGAAATCCCCTCCCGGAGCCCTCCAGTAAAGTACTGAGAGGGTTCAGGGAGAGGCAAAACCAGATTGGACTCAGACAATCGCCCTGGAAGATACCCCTTCTTATCCTTATGTGGTTCTCCGCAGCCATCATCCGCTCGCCCAGATAGCAAAGGATCGTACTCCATTGCCCCATACACTGCTCGAGGAAGTCTCCAACTGTACAGTCAATTTTGTACAGCTGGAGGACTCTCTTTAGCCATGTATGGGGCACCGAGTCGAATGCCTTTCTGTAGTCTATCCAGGCGGCGGAGAAATTCCGACGGTTGCGTTTCACCACTTTGCCAATGACCGCGTCAATGAGGAGTGGTTCCTTGGTTCCACGACCACCGCCCCCGGCATCCATTTTGAGCGCGTGACATCACCTGATTTAGCTCCAGGTGACGAGTGATTCTCGCGCTCAAAATGGATGTCAGTGTCTTATATATGGTGGGTAGACACGTGATGGGGCGGTATTTGCTCGGGTCTGTGGTATCCTGATCTTTAGGAACCAAATGAGTGATCCCAGTAGTGAAGAGGCTCGGGAGCGACTTCTGATCGAGAGCCTCTTGAAACTGTCGGGCGAGCACAGCGTGACACACTACGAACCCCTTCAGCCAGTAATGATGCAGCCCGTCGAGCCCCGGACTTTTCCAGTTCGGGGCCCTACGGACCGCCTCAGCCACGTCTTCAGGCGTTATAGTGACGGGGTCCATAGGCGTAACACTTGCACTCTGGCTCGCCACAACTTCCATCCAAGGGCCCTCGCTGTGGTTTACGGGCTCTGACCACAGGCCACGCCAAAATGCGACAGTGTCAGCCTGATCCGGTCCTGGGCCCGCTCCACATACCTTTGGTCGCTCCAATGTTTTATAGAGCCTCTTCTGATCACTCTGGAAGAGACGATTCTGGTTGAACCGCCTTGACCTCTCGCTAAATCGTCGAATCCGCTTCCCCCAAGCAGCGATTTTTTGCTTCAGGTCATCTATGCGCTCCGTTAGTTTTTGCGTGATATCCGGCTGGAACAAATTGATATTTGTCCCAGCAAACGCCATCCTAACGGTGCGCATAATCCTCGGTCTATTATTACCCGACCTGAAGCTTGTCAGTCTGCCGATAAGGGCCCTTGCCTTTGCGATACGGTCCTCAATTCTTTTTCTCCAGGCTGGGATGGCGCTACTTTTTTGAGTAGCACGTCCAGCCACGGGAAGTTTGGCGCCAATAATACGGCATACTGCCAGTGCGGCGCCAAAAAGAATTGAATCCGTCTCGCAAAGGTCCCGGCTGGCTTCCAAATAGGTCACCAGCATTGGGTTAAGAGCCCGCACGACAGCCCGATTTCGCTTGCTAAGGGGTATGCGGGGGAAGTCGCGGTCGATTTTCGAGAGGCATGCTGCGCGTTTCCAGCATCGACTCTTCCAATATGCTCCTCATTTTCTCTAGTTCGTGGGAGACTATTCCATCATCGTCTGAATTAGCCACAAATGGAATGTTGACGGCAGCATCCACATATGCAGTTTGTTGCGCATCTAGTGGCGCCGCATTCCCAGCCGTAGCATTTCCATTCGATGAAGGAATAGCCTCACGTCGTAGTCGCTCGAGTTCGGCGTCACCAAATATGTTGGAGCGCAGGATGTACCTAACTCGGTCTGCCAGGTTTTGCTCAGTGACGGATAGAGATGGCTCCAGCTCTGCAAAAAAGCGATGCATCCGAGCCCGATACGCCAAACATCCAGTTTCTTCCCCTTTTGCCCTAAAATACGCCCGCAGTGCGTTTTCATTCATTGATTTAGACCAACGCATGCGACGTGCTCCACCAGCGGGGGGTGTCGCTTGCTGAGTCCGAGAAGACCCAGCCGACACCAAGCCTTCTGGTGGGGATGATGGATGCGGGGGGCTACTAGGTGGTCTTGCAACACCCCGCGCTCGGCTGGCGGCCCGCATGCTGTCGCGTCCAGCGCCAGCTCCAGACGCGCCCTGGCGACCTCCAGGCAGCGGCCCTTTGCGCACTATCTTTTTCTCCATCATCCATAATTATTATTAAATGTATAATTAATATAATTATTATTATTATTATTAAATGAAATGCATAAATAAGTTAGTAAACTTGGGGTGTTTTTACCCACAGATAGTATGCCGTGTATCCGTGGCCATATGAAAACATTCTAACAATCTTTTATTGACGTTATTATTTTAGAAATATTGATATGGGTAGCCCTATTAACCGTCAATTTATCCTCTCGGTAAAGTGTAGGTATACATGCTTTTCTTGTAGGTATATCAGGACCATATTATGTTTTTATACGTCTATGATATACTTCTAAGTCAGTGGTTATTGGGAGTTTTGGCGGGAACTTGGCTGACGACGGACTATCGCTTCTGTTTTGTCTTGAATAATGGTTTGAAGTGGATTTTAATTCGTAAAAGTGTAATTTTGTGAATTAAGCATTTGCGTGTGTGAACTACTAGAGAAAACGACGAAACATGTGTTTTGATGTTGATATAAACCTCAAGTTAATTTGTTCGCTTGGGTGCCTTATGAACTTGAGTGACTGTCGTCAACAACAGTCCGCTGAGTTGAGCTGTCGTCAAAATATCGCAAAAACTTCGCAATGTGATGCATCAGCATATTGTGAAGAAAAAATATATAAAATAAAGATTCCGAAAGAAATGAAGGGCTAGTACCCAGAGCCGTTAAGCCAGTTAAATAAAAAAAAGTCAGTGGTTGTTTCTTATGGTCTGTGTTTGTCAATGTCATTGTCATTATATATTTTTTTCATTGTTGTGAATGTGATGTTTTAGGGTCTGTTCCGAAATACAACACAGTGTACTGTCCAATGCAAATGACGTCATGAATCGACGCTGTACTGGTGATTCGTTCCAAAACATAGGACAGTATATGACGTCATACATTAGCGACATATTGGAAAAGTGTTGGCGATTATTTTGTCATTTTGTGCTCCAAAATCATTATATCCTCCTAATGGAGATACCAGCAATTATTCAATAATTTTTGTATTTGAATAAATAAAAATAAATTCTGGCATGCTTCATTCAGCGCACACACAATTAAAAGTTGTTTTATTATGGCCGGATATCCGACACAATATGACGGCGGCACGCCAGTGTAATGTAGTGTCAATTGATGACGTCATTTGCATTGGACAGTACACTGTGTTGTATTTCGGAACATACCCTATATGAGTCTGCTAATGTCATCATCAAGTATTTATTGTTAAATAATACACAACTACTTATCATAAAATTTATTTAGTAAGTAATATGTGTATGTGTCAAGAAATTCGTTAGATTGCTGCTCCTTTCGACAGCCCATCTAAGAATGCAACCTCTAATATCACCGATTGGTAAGAAAAGTTTGCTTACAAATTGCAGCAACCTTTGTGTTATTTGTCAGATATTTGTTTTATTTACATATTATATTATATTTATTTCCTATGTGTAATATTAATATTGTATTTAATATTAACGGTTAAGATATACCTATGATGTATAGTAGGACTTTGTTAAGCTAGGTCAGCGCTTTTTACCATCCCATACCATATAATCAGGTGGAATAGTAGTCAAGCGCTTACTTACGATGGTTCAATAGTAGGCATGAGTCCAATATATTATAATGTAACTCATATCTATACATATAATCATTTTCAATCAATGTTCAATAATTTATCAACCTACAATATTCTATATCACACAGCCAGCAATCACCATACACATCTATGTCACGCTACATTCATATTCAAAACCAATGAAGTACCTATACAATGTATACCATCAACAAGCACAGTACCTGCAGAAACCCCGCTGATAATGAATAATATTTGAATTGTATATGCAAATTGGCACATTTATTTTAAAATAACGTTTATCACTAGTGACCCGTACTAGCTTGGAATTGGGGGATTTAATTCACAATATAAGACAATCATTAAATATGATTTAACTTATCTTCATATTATCATTTATCATCAATATTTCAATTTTAATAAAATCTTTAAATTTTCAAACAATATTTATTCTTGGTAACTCTTAGTATTACTCATTATTTTTTGTGAAGTTTAATTGCAATCAGTTCAATCATTCTGAAGATTAGCTTGGGCATACACACAAACGAAAATTTTAAAAATGGTTCCCAATGATATGTTTATATTCTACACAAAAATAATAGGTTGGGGAAAAGTTAAAATAACGAAAAATCTCTTTGTTGTTTGCCTGCGATTAAATAAATTTCTTGTATTAAAATAATGTTTTAATTACAATTTCCAAATCAACTTTTTCTTATAATTCATAATTTAAATGAAAAATACAACATGAACTCAACTTGTAAATTTATTTCAAGCTATTTTGTGTCTTAATCAATTTATTTTCATTTACTTCCATTCATTTGCATTTAAAAAATTTAAAGGAAATTTTAAACACTGTTATTTTCGTAATATTTTTAACATTAAGTAATATTTTTAAACTGGGTTTTAAAACAATTAATAAAAAACAAAGTTTTATTTCAAAATACTTTAAAACCTGTTATTTAAACAACTTGTTCGTGCCAACCCTGGCAATGGACCAGCCATATCTCAAAGAACTGACAATGGATGGGGGGGGGGAAAGCTTATCAAATGGCAGCCTTGTGCTAGTAAGCAAAATGTAGGTTACCCCAATCCCCCAGTAGGGATTTTCGTTCGGGGTTTTGTGGCATTCCTTGGTCGGCCTATATTCAGTAGGGGACTTGTAATTATGATATACACTTTTACACTGAAGTGCTTTACACTTTTACATAAGTACTCATCGTCCTATGCATATAACATTCACTTATTTGAAATGTGCAGTCACTGTAATTTAGTTGTACTTCCTCTAATTGTATCCCATAATGTCCATGTCTTGATGTGTGATTGTGTGTGCTGTATCTATATGGGGACCTTAAAAAGACGTGGTAAAAGCTAGCTATGCCACTTCATGCACAATCTAATAGGCTTTATGGTATAAGCAACTGTCCTGTGTGAAGTATCGCTACATCTTTGCAAAGTATTAGTTATCACTTTCACTCCTAAACACAATTACCTGCATTTTAAATACAATATCAGTAGTCAGCCTCCGATGCGTAAGGAGATTGTAAAGGTCACCCTATCCTATAAAACATATTTGTAGGTCAAACAAATACTTGATTCATGCAGGATTTGAACCCATAGTCCTCAATGCTGCAAGTCATTACTATGACACCACGTCACGGAGCTGTTTTTATTGGAATCGAGGAATTCCATCTGGTACTCAGGGTTGACAACGCATCTGCATTCCATTCTTGATTGAGGATAGGTGTAGATTTATATGCATTACCACATCCACTTACTTTAAATGGATTGTGTACTTGCTTGTCACCCTTATAATATAAAAAAAGTATTTAAAGTAATATACCACAGAGAACAGAATAGTCAGTAACTTAGAAAGCCAGATCATCAGCCTATTGAAGTATGTTGTACAGACAGTTCACGGATCTATCTAGGTCATGAGTATATAGGTTATTGAGAAGGATCTTAGAATAGATCCTTGAGGTACTTTTCCTTGTCACTCGAGACAACATGCATGAATTACATGCATGTGTAACGCGCAAACTAGATATGAGCCTGTCTGTTGTCTGTCATCTATGTAACCTAATCTTAACAAACATTTGTTAAGTTAACAATTTATCTTATTCGATTGTCTGTCCATCAGTATTGCGTGATAAACTTGATAATTGTGCTTAACTAGCGTTTATATCACACTTTAGGCTGGTTTTGATTAAATATTTTTTTATAATATGTAGGTTATTAGGCTGTGAGATTTTTTTATTTTTTCCATACACTATATCACACACTTTGGAATTTGAACTTATTTTATTAATAATTATTATTTTATTTAAAATTTATATTACTTTTAGTTATTAGAAATCAGTTTTCTTAAGTTAATATTTAACCTTTTAAGTTGCTTTTGTAGCCTAGGAACCCATGCGGTCAGTATTCGACAGAATGGAATAGTATTGAGTTTACTGACAACTTCCCTCTCTTTCTTATATTTTTGTACTGCTAGAAAAAAAAAACAAAATAAAAATAATTAAATACCATACTAAACTATTTACTGGTACTTGAAAGTGTAGTTGGTTTTTAAAGAAGTAAATGCCGTTCCAAAATTTGTTTAAGAACAATATTCATTTATTGAAACCTATTAAAGTTCACTCCACAACACAGGCTTCCGTACAGAATTTCTCATGATGGGGACATTTGCCACAGTTGCCACGCTTGGTGGCCGGTGGCCGGGTTGGCAATTGCAGTTTTTTTCTTCTATTTCCTATCTGTAAGATGCTATAGCCATCTCGTGATTTGTTTCCCTTGGTTGCCTCTTGCGACACTCAAATGACAATATAGAAATAATTAATATTAACAATTTCTAATAGGGAAAGGCACACATTTCATGACCACGGTTTTAAGGTTTTCTTTTTATAGGATAGGGTGACAAACGAGCACACAGTCCACCTGATAGTAAGTGGTTGCTGTAACCCACAGACACCTACATGTATCATCGATTACGAATCAAAATGCAGATGCGTTGTCATGATTAAGATGGAATGCTTCATTTCCAGTAAAAAGGGTTTCCCGTTCTCTACTCTACTATTTAACGCTGGTATTCTGTGAGAGTGTGGTCCTTCCCCGGTCGAGCCGACCCATTCGTGCTACAACTATACTTCTACTATAACAGCAGCATGGCTCTACCACGTATAAAAATAATAATATTTCATAGGATGCTACTCCCTGCGACTTCGTCCGCGTAGATTGTATTACAATTGGATTTCATGTGTTTTAATTGTTTTGCGCGAAATCCTAATTCTTTTTCTGAAATAAAAGTAGCCTAGTTACTCTTTATAACATCAGCTATCTGCCAGTGAAAGTCCCGTCAAAATCGGTCCAGCCGTTTTGGAGATAAGCCGGTACAAACAGACAGACAGACAAAAAATTTAATTTTTTTATAGTTATAAGTACCGTGCATTATTTCGTATGCTAAAAAACTGTTATTTTGACATGACAAACAGACAGTTCAATTTTATTTATTTGTATAGAGTTTAAAGTAAACAAAAAATACTTTTTAAAAATTTTACAGTTACACTATAAAACAAATAATATTTATTATTTGTAATATATAAAAGGTAAAGTTACAGTCTATACAGGTACATTCTACTCCAGAGCTCAGGCCTTCTCTCATTGATGAGAGGGTCTTTTTATGTCAAGGAAATGTCCTCCGCGCTGCTCCAGTATGTTTTGGTTTAAAATTTAAATAGTAAATATTATAACAGAAACACATATTTCTAATATTTATCTGTTGTTGGTTTGAGGGATATGTTACTAAGTTACATAATATTTGCTTTAAATATTTTGGTTTGATTTCTTGCAACATTCGATATCACAACACGAGAAGTTAGTGTGGAATGCGAAACAAAATAGTCAGTTTAACAGACCTATTCATATTGCATGCACACTGTGATGTGATGTTTTATGAATGACTGATACATACAAAGAGGTAAGAATTTTAATTCTCATATAAATATTATATTCTTTTATTAAAATATAGGTACATAAAATAAATATTACGTAATAAAATTTTTTTTTCACTAGCACGTGCAGAGTTATTGTTTAGCTTATGCTCTGACCAATATAGCTTAATTTAGCTTCAAACCAAGCTAGTGGCCTCTCTCAAAAACCAAGCTATGTAGGTTTTCAAAATTTCTAAATATTATGTACCATCACGAACATAAAAAAGCGCACCATGTACTATTTTTAAACAACTAATACTGCAAAAACATCGATTGACAGTTTGTAAACTGTGGCCAAAACAAACGAATTTTTTTAATATTTTTCTTTCATGGGTTATTGCGGTGTCTAGCTCTGAAATTATATTATATATATTGGTATACTTCTTAGAACCAAAATTCGGAATATTTTATGTAATGTATTGTACTAAACCCTTTTTAATTAATAATTTAAAAAAACACTGTTTACTGTCTGTGCTAATAAATTTTTCAGCGTATTTATAAAAGTATTGTTTTCTTGCTATTAGGTCAATTAGATCACATTTATTTTTCCGGTAAATTTTCTCCACATTGTTTTTCAAAGATATTTTGATTATTACATATAATATCTGTTTATTATATATCAGAGTCGTGATAGTTTAGATGGTTAGCGCTCACTGTAAATTTACAGTACGCGAGCAAACCGTGTTCGATTCGAACACCATTGAAATTGTATATTGCAATTTTAAGTGCTAGTTTACCACGTGCTTGGCGATGAAGAAAAACATCGTGAGGAAACTTGAATGTCTGAAAAATAAGAAAAAATATTTGGAAGACATATGAAGTTTGCCAACATACATTGGGGCAGCGCGGCGGACAATTCCTTGCCTTAACACCCTCTCAGAAATGAGCGGAGGCCTGTGTCCAGGAGTGAAACGTATATAGGCTGTAACTTTAATATATCAGCGTAAAATTGCAGCTTTATGCTGCTGTGTTCTACAAGAAGGGTGTACCTTGAACCTTTTTACTGAAAACGAGGCATACCAAAGATGAAATTCGTGGTCCCCACCACTAGTCGCGAGATGATGTTGGGTAGTGAATATGTTTAAACCACTACTACCCGGTGCATGTTCTAGGTATATTTATCTGGTATATTATGTATCTAGTACAAGTACGGAACCCTAATAGTCAGCCCGACTCGCACTTAACTAGTCTTCGTCTACTAGAGGAATTATTTCACTCACATTGTAGATTGATAAACTAAAACCAATAATTTATTATAAGCTATGGTAGGTAACAAATTGGGTACCTAAATGTTGAATTAAAATAGGCATATCAAGCAGATAAGTTACAGTATGCAGGATATAATGGCCTGTGGTGACATTAAATATGTCTGTTAAAATTGGAACATGATCGCATAATAAAAACTTTAAATCAATGTATTACGCGATTGATACGAACGCACCAGACTGGTCAATGTTGTCAGGGTGCAGAACTCGCTGTTAGAAACTGATATTGCCTTAGTGTAGTGTTGATATGGGCGAGATTCAACTGCAATCTATTTATTGTAACTAACGTTTTGCCTTTTATTTTTAATGAAATAATTTCCAGTTAATACATGGCGGTGAATGTTTTATGCCTTATCTTTTTTATAATATATATTTGGTCGCTTAAATTACTTTTAAATTTTAGGGATACGTAAGCTGGTAAATATATTTCATGACCCATATTTGATGAAATTTAAAAAGTTTTCTATGCATAAATATTTGCCATATATGAATATATACCATGGGATTCATAGAACCTGAATGATAATAATATGGCTCAGTTGTACGGTTTTAATTAACGTTAAAAATTATTTTAATTAAATACAGCCAGAGTAAAATATTAACTTGATATTCTATGTAACACAATAATTGACTTTTCCAGATCACGAGTCACGTACCAACTCATACCGCGCAGAAGATGAACCCAGAACTTCGAGGCGTCGCCGCTCCTGCAGCGTTTTCCAAGAAGGCCAGTACAAGAAGAACAAAGATACCAGATCACCGTGGCCGTCACACTACTCTTTCTAGTTCTCTTTGCGGGAATTTTAATAGGCATATATTTGTTGGTTATCCAAAACAGATCAGGTGAGATATATTTGTTTAATTTAATATCAATATTTTTATTATCTATCTTTATTTAAAAGACTTTTATCCTACAAGGATATGTCAGCCTTATCGTACGAGGCCGAAAATTTCGGGAATCAAGGAAGTGACACAACATTACTATTTAAAAATGTATTTATTGTGATTGATTGAGTGATTTATGTAGTTGTACATCAAGCATCAAATGATACAATATCTAATGTATTACAATTTAACTTACTATTTGTGGCTCCATTATTTTATTATTCAAAAAGTATTTGCTGTAAATATTTCTGTTTCAAAGTTTAGTTTGATTCGAAAAAAGGTTTATAACATAGAAATGCTTGTCAAGAATTACGAATACAAATGATCGAACCGATGCAGTGAAACTTGATAATTGTTTTGACCGACGCGTGACGCGATGAGCGATGACGCTGCGGCCGCTACTGACCGGCGGCGTTCCGTTACGTGATTGTTTTCGAACCATAGTTACATTGATTTAAGTAAAAATATAATCATTTTATAATTTTAGGGAGAAAAAGGGAGTTAATGTAGTAACTTCTAATTAAAGTCAATAGTTATAAATCTAAAATTACATTTTATGTTATTATATTAATACAACTATTTGAAAGAAGCAATAGTCGCTATGCATAAAACGAAACAGTCGAGAGGAAACGGATCGATCCAAACATCTGTTTGGATCGACTGCGATCGCCGCAAAAAAAAGATTGGGCTTGTTAAGTTATGTTATTGGGATGTGGATTTGGATCGATCTTTGTATAGGGTACAATCTCGGATTGCCATTAATCTTAAAATAGAGATACGTTATTAAGTTCGGGCGCTAGATATGATGTCATGTTGGTTTGTGTAGAAGCTTGGATTTTAGTTTTGAAGTTGGTAGCACTAGTTTGTTTCTCTGTCTAAGACTCCTAGATATGATGCATGTTGTTTGTGTAGGAGCTTGGATTTTAGTTTTGAAGTTGGTAGCACTAGTTTGTTTCTCTGTCTAAGACTCCTAGATATGATGTCATGTTGGTTTGTGTAGGAGCTTGGATTTTAGTTTTGAAGTTGGTAGCACTAGTTTGTTTCTCTGTCTAAGACTCCTAGATATGATGTCATGTTGTTTGTGTAGGAGCTTGGATTTTAGTTTTGAAGTTGGTAGCACTAGTTTGTTTCTCTGTCTAAGACTCCTAGATATGATGTCATGTTGGTTTGTGTAGGAGCTTGGATTTTTTTTTTTGACAAATTTGCATTGTTCCAAAATATAGATACGTAACTTGAAGCATGCGATGTATATCTTTAATCGATTGTGCAATTAGTATCTTTTTTTATTCCTATAAAGAGTGCACATTATTTACATTTTAAATGTTGCCAAACTGTAAGCCAGTTTGTCGGCAACGCAACAGTTTATCTTTTCACACTCCTTAATAACAATATCTGGTACTTATAAATTAACACATAAATAATTAGAGAAACATTCACCACTATGGACACAACGACAGATAATGTTTCCTCAAGATGGATTTGAGCTGCGACTTAGTTACGCTTTCGTCATATATATCCGCTACCTCATTACACAAAGTTGGAGTTATCCATTGCCTTGTACGCCGTTCAAAGTAATTTTCAGCCCTAGGTATGAGATATTTCCTCCTTTGAGTAATTTGGCACTTCGTTTTATATATGTTCATTATATATGTCCTAGGTTTCTTAAATATTACCATACCATGCTGTTCTAATATGATGATTGATTTTACTTTCATATCTATGGGAATTATTTAGCTAATTTTAAGTAACATTTCATAATTTTTATCTAGAGCATTTTTCGTTTTAGGATCAACTAGTATCTTTAAAAATCTTATCTGCATAGTCTTTATTTTGTTAAGATATGTTGGAAATGTAAGTCCATATCCACCTAAGCCGATCGTTGCGTCTGCTAGGGCATAATACAGAATATACATGATTCCTCGGTTCACAACATATTTTATATGATTCAGTTCACCTATAACCAACCCTAAATATTTATAGTTTGTTACACATTGTAGCTTTTCGCAGCGGCAGAGATAGCTCGACTAGTCAGTATGCAGGCAATCGTAAGTGTGACCCATAAAAGCTATATCTACTGTTTTTCTAGAACGGTTATGGGGTAATCTTATTACCATAAATTTGGTTTTATTCAAGTTCATGATAATACTATTGTCGTGGGACCACTTTATTAAATTGTTTAAATCCTGCTGCACTTTTAACTGTATTTTTTGCACTATACACGAGGCAGGTATCGTCAGCATACATGTATATTCTACAATTCTTGATAACATTTATCATGCTGTTGACGTGACTTATATATCAGATCAGGCTAAACACAGAGCCAGCCGGTACACCAAATTTTACTTTTCCTATCCACTCCGTTTACACGAACAACTTCTATTTTCTAAATATTTTTTAAACCGGCTTTTCACTGGACCTCTTTTTCCACATTCTAATTTAATATTTCTAAGTTGACGTGTGCTTACTGTTTCTGCATTGTTGCAACAATCGTTGGTGTACTTTAATAAATAAATAAAAATAAATATTAACATGCAAGGACAATGCGGTCAATACCAGCTTGGAAAACATCAAAATTCTTATAAGACATGTGATGTATTTTACAGAGAACGTTCTACCGCCAGTCGAGCAGCTGGTGCTTATGGTGAGCCGTTTCCAATGGGATAAGATCAACCAGATCCAGACATTTGCCCAGAAACCTTCAACAAAGGCAAGTCAGGTGATAGTCGTCGAGACGGGCACGAGGCAGTGTTACGGCACATCGGACTGCGCTAAGTTGCTGAATGCGATACAGGTAAATTTAGTTACAAGATTCAAAGTGTTTTGAGTGACACGTTTTGACGCGATTTTTAATAGAATAAGGATGACAAACAACAATATAGTCCACCTGATGGTAACTAGATGTTGTGACCCATAGATACCTACATCAATCTTTGATTAAGAATCAAAATGCAGATGCGTTGTCACCCCTAAGGACAAAGATGGAACGCCTCGTTTCCAGTAAAAGGGTCTCCGGTTCTCTACACTCACCATATGATACTCCCTAGGCGTATTCCCAAAATCGTGGAAGACGGCTTTCGTCCACCCGAACCCTAAAAAAGGCGATTGCTCAGATTCGTCAAACTACATGCCTATCGCCACCACCTCCATGTTCTCCAAAATAATGGATTCCATTACAAACTGCCAGCTCATGTGGTACCTTGAGGATCACCAGCTGATTAGTGACCGCCAATACGGTTTTCGTCGGGGTTGATCAGCTGTGGATCTGGTTTACCTGACTGACTAATCGATGAGCGAAGGCAGTACAGTCCAAGGGGGGATATTGGCCGTTAGTTTGAACATTGCGAAAGCCTTCGATCGGGTTTGGCATAAAGTGCTTCTTTCGATGCTCCCTTCCTATGGTGAGCTTCCCGAGAAATTGTGTAATTGGATCACCAGCTTTCTTGCAGATCGGAGTATCAAGGTGTAGACGGTGCATATTCCCATTACAAGCCTATTATTGCTGCAATTCCATAAGGCTGCGTGCTATCACCAACGCTGTTTCTTCTGCATATCCTCTTGATATGTTGCAAACCGGTAACGTTCATTGCTATGCGGATGACAGCACTGGTGATGCTCTGTATACCGGCCGTGCTAATATTTCTTGGGAAAATGTCTCCGGGTACCGTAACAAACTTATGTTTGAAGTCGAGTCTTTGCCAAACAAAGTCTCGGTTGGGGGTGACTAAATCTAGTCCAGTTTAACTCTGAGAAGACACAAGTTTGCACGTTAACTGCTAAAAAGAGCCCCTTTGTCGTATCTCCTCAAGTTCAAGACACTCCCCTTGTTGCCTCAGCCAGTATCGGAATCTTCGGCGTCGACATATCGAGTGACGAGCAGTTTCGTGGTTACTTAGAGGGGAAGACCAAATTGGATCTAAGAAGCTTGGCGTGCTCAGAAGAGCGGAACAGTATTTCATGCCGGCACACCGCCTGCAACTTTACAAGATCGCCCTCACATGGAATACTGTACGCCCTCACATCTCTGGGCTGGGATTGCCCACAGCCAGCTCCGTCCACTTGAACGCATCCAGCGCAGAGCGGCTCGAATAGTTGACGACCGAGTGCTTTCCGATCGGCTCGATTCACTAGCGCTGCGAAGAGATGTTACATCTCTTTGCATTTTCTTTCGCATCTACCACGGGGAGTGCTCTGGAATTGTTTGGATTAATCCCAGCCGCCAAATGTCATGAACGCACTACGCGGCAGATCTTCCTATACCATCCACACCATCTGGATGATTGGCGGTCCACCACTGTACGTTTCACAAGGAGTTTTCTTCCGCGTACCACCTCTCGTGGAATAGTTTACCACCGGCGATTTTTCCGGACCGATACGACCTGGGGACCTTCAAGAAAAGAGCTTACTCCTTTCTAAAAGGCCGGCAAAGCACCTGCGATTCCCCTGGTGTTGCAGTTGTTCGTGGACGACGATAGTTACCGAACATCAGGTGAACCGTCACGTCACACAATCTACCGCAACTAATAAGTTTATTTTAGTCTAGTAAGTTTGATAAAAATGCAGATGTGTTATGTAACCGCGTTTCCAGTATCTACCCCAACTAGTTTCGTTGCGGCAGATTGTGTGCTGGTTTGTCACTCTTATTATTTAAAAAAATTGGCGTCACCCCGCCAAAGTGATGTTTGTTAGATTCAATTCCATCAATAAGAATATTAGTAGAAGGAATTTCAGATCTTCCAGCACTTTTATTTATCATTCAGTTTTGATCGTCTTGCCTCAAATATTGCTAGACTTTAATTTTGTAAAAACACAAATATAAATATAAATAATATTTAATTTATATAAGGAACAACATAGGATATAGCAGTGGTGGATGTTGATTGTATCGTTAAAAAAATGCTATAATATCATTATCCATATTAATATTCACCTTGCTTGTCAAGATTTTCTTCAAAAGTAAAAAAAAACATTGATTATGTTCTTATTCGAAAATATCAAAATACCAAAATACACGGCTATAGCGTGAAAATATGTTCTTGATGTTGTGTGCACTTTGTTGTACTGTTGTATTATTTACTGGTTCTGTCGCCGCGCCGGTGTGAACATTTTACAATGTTTTATTGCAAAATATTCACAACAGCGACGTAATAATTTGACAAAATCGGAGACCGATCTGGCAAGTATTATAATCGATTCATATGACACGCACGGAGTAGACGGGTGGTGCGATTCTCTTTCGCCGCCACCCACGGCGAAATAATTCCTACAGGGTTAGTCAAGATAACATGGTGCGATCATTATCGCTTTATGAAACTATAACAGTGAATCAAATCAACGGCTACGTGACAGTGACGTGACTTAACGTTCGGTAATTATGTCATTCCCATACATTTTCTAACCACGTTTGTAAAATAGCTAAGGAACACATTAGAATAGCAAATCTGTCTAAAGTTACCTGAAATAACTTGTTATAGAATCCTGAAAATTATCTATATATTATTAAAGGAAAACACTGTTGTCAATCTCTTGTTTCATGGAGCATAATAAAAATAATGACCAGATATTGTAAAAAATATGAAAGCATAAAACAGGGTTTACTCGCATAGCCCTTTTAATCTCTTATACCGGAATGATTATTGGTCATTGGGATATTATATTTCTTAGTCATATTTATATGCGCAATAAGCGAATGTGAACATAATGTGGTTACTGATTATAGTTTTTTAATTTTACTTATTAGGTCATGATATTTTAAACAAGTAATAGCTACAGACGGGCACACAATCCACCTGGTTGTTTGCTCTAAGATAAGTTGAGGTAAAGGCCATAGACGCCTAAAACTTATTTTATAGAATGATAGTGACGCACGAGCACATAGTCCACCTGGTGTTAAGATGGTGATGCTGCCCATCGACATCCACATCTAGCAACGAATGAGAATCAAAATGCAGATACCTTCACAATCCTGAGTACTGAGATGAAAAGTCCCATTACCAATAGAAAATGTCCCCGGTTCTCTACACTCACGCAGCATTTTTCTGTTGCTTCACGCTGGTGTTCCGTGAGAGCAAGGTCCTGTCCTGGTCGAGCCGACTCATTCATGACTGCAGTGTGGCTCTAACACGTTAAATATCGTAACACTTTACGCTAGCAATTCTTGTATATTTTATGAATTTATATACTTGGTTTCTCGTAATTGGTTCTATGGATTTGGATGAAATAGGTGATATCCTTGATAAAATTATAATTTTTAAAACTCCGTGTGAAGCTTATATGCCCAAAGAATGAATGACTCATTAGTATCATTATAATTATTTCTAATAATAAAATCTGTTATAGTTTTATTCCACATCAGCATTATGTTACCATTTCCGTAAGTAGGTATGTGGTCTTTATTACGTTATTTTATCTTTAATGACAAATATGTTTACATACCAAAAGTTGGTCTGCGCATTATTAATACCTAATTCGTCTTTCCATATTATTCCATCTCTCATAATATATATGTTAGTTATTTATGTCCATTGCCTCATGATGGAACTTTACCATAGTTGCCACGCTTGGCATGCGGGTTCGCAACCGCAGTTTTTTAATGATTTAGAATTGTTATCACCCATCCAACAAGCCCATCTCTTGGTTCATTTTCCCTCTATCGCCTCTTACGGCACCCTCGGGACGATATGAGGTAGAAAATATTCTTGCACCGCCACTACAATGTTTTATCATTATATTATTGCTGTAACTAAAAAGCTGATAATCTAATAGTAATCTAATAGTTAACGTAATCTAATATATAAAAATTAATATTTGTTTGTTTGTATGTCGTGCGCTGCCATACCGTTCATCAGATTGCGATAAAACTTTATCAACATATTGCTTGCAGTTCGCGATGCAGATCACTAGTCCTTTATAAACATAGCTGGACCCGGTAGGTGGCGCTGTTGTAGAAAGTATCACCCGTGCGAAGCGGGGCAGATTTTTATAAACATAGTTGGACCCGGTAGGTGGCGCTGTTGTAGAATCCAGATATCACCCGTGCGAAGCCGGGGCAGATCGCTAGTCTTTTATAAACATAGTTGGACCCGGTAGGTGGCGCTGTTGTAGAATCTAGATATCACCCGTGCGAAGCCGGGGCAGATCGCTAGTCTTTTATAAACATAGTTGGACCCGGTAGGTGGCGCTGTTGTAGAATCTAGATATCACCCGTGCGAAGCCGGGGCAGATCGCTAGTCTTTTATAAACATAGTTGGACCCGGTAGATGGCGCTGTTGTAGAATCTAGATATCACCCGTGCGAAGCCGGGGCAGATCGCTAGTCTTTTATAAACATAGTTGGACCCGGTAGATGGCGCTGTTGTAGAATCTAGACATTACCCGTGCGAAGCCGGGGCAGATCGCTAGTCTTTTATAAACATAGTTGGACCCGGTAGATGGCGCTGTTGTAGAATCTAGATATTCACCCGTGCGAAGCCGGGGCAGATCGCTAGTCTTTTTATAAACATAGTTGGACCCGGTAGATGGCGCTGTTGTAGAATCTAGATATCACCCGTGCGAAGCCGGGGCAGATCGCTAGTCTTTTATAAACATAGTTGGACCCGGTAGGTGGCGCTGTTGTAGAATCTAGATATCACCCGTGCGAAGCCGGGGCAGATCGCTAGTCTTTTATAAACATAGTTGGACCCGGTAGGTGGCGCTGTTGTAGAATCTAGATATCACCCGTGCGAAGCCGGGGCAGATCGCTAGTCTTTTATAAACATAGTTGGACCCGGTAGATGGCGCTGTTGTAGAATCTAGATATCACCCGTGCGAAGCCGGGGCAGATCGCTAGTCTTTTATAAACATAGTTGGACGCGGTAGATGGCGCTGTTATAGAATCTAGACATTACCCGTGCGAAGCCGGGGCAGATCGCTAGTCTTTTATAAACATAGTTGGACCCGGTAGATGGCGCTGTTGTAGAATCTAGATATCACCCGTGCGAAGCCGGGGCAGATCGCTAGTCTTTTATAAACATAGTTGGACCCGGTAGGTGGCGCTGTTGTAGAATCTAGACATCATTCGTGCGGAGCCGGGGCAGATCGCTAGTCTTTTATAAACATAGTTGGATCCGGTAGATGGCGCTGTTGTAGAATCTAGATATCACCCGTGCGAAGCCGGGGCAGATCGCTAGTCTTTTATAAACATAGTTGGACCCGGTAGATGGCGCTGTTGTAGAATCTAGACATCACCCGTGCGGAGCCGGGGCAGATCGCTAGTCTTTTATAAACATAGTTGGACCCGGTAGATGGCGCTGTTGTAGAATCTAGATATTACCCGTGCGAAGCCGGGGCAGATCGCTAGTCTTTTATAAACATAGTTGGACCCGGTAGGTGGCGCTGTTGTAGAATCTAGATATCACCCGTGCGAAGCCGGGGCAGATCGCTAGTCTTTTATAAACATAGTTGGACCCGGTAGGTGGCGCTGTGTGTGTGGGCAGATCGCTAGTCTTTTATAAAAATACTCATTCGTTTTGTTAATCATTATGCTTACACTTAAATTTTTTTTAGGATAGGGTGACAATCGAGCACACAGTCCACCTGATGGTAAGTGGTTGCTGTGGCCCACAGACATCTACATCTATCCTCGATTACGAATCAAAATGCAGATGCGTTGTCACCCATAAGGACTAAGACGGAATGCCTCTTTTCCAGTAAATACGGTGTCCGGTTCTCTACACTCACCATACGAAACACAGCAGCAACAAGCTACTATTTGACGCTGGTATTCTGTGAGAGCGTGGTCCTTCCCCGGTCGAGCCGACCCATTCGTGCTACAACTATACTACTAATATAACTGCAGCATGGCTCTACCACGTATAAATTAATTCATTTGTTGAATCTAGATTATCAAAATAATTGTAATTTGTAAGTCAATTAAATTTCTGTGCCTTGATTGCTTTGCTTAGTCATTGCGATTTTCGTTAAAATCTGTAGATGTTGATATTGTTCTTACTCGTCTTTATATATCATATGTTTTAAAATTTTATAAGAACTTAGCGTGTCTTTCATAGGTATGTATATGTTTTAAATAGGCCAAACTCTGTTGCTGGTGATCGTGTGGATGTCATAAATTACAGTTACGAGGGCGGCACTGAAAATTTCGGGAATCAAGGAAGTGACACAACATTACTATTTAAAAATGTATTTATTGCTTTTCGAAGTATTCTCCGCGAAATTTGACACATTTTTCTATACGATGGAACCAATCATTGAAGCAACCATTCCATTCGGAAGTTGGGGTCTCCAAATTGGCCGTTTTGTAGGCGTTCACAGCTTCAGGTGATGAAAATCTCTGTCCACGCAATTTATTCTTTATTTTAGGGAAAGTATAGAAATCATTAGGGCTTAGGTCGGGGCTGTACGGCGGATGGTCTAATAATTCTATGTTTTCTTGCTTTAAAAACTCTTTTGTTCTGTGTGCGGTGTGAGAACTCGCATTGTCGTGATGGAGGATGATGCGGCGGTTGCAGTTCTCTTTATGGAGTTCAGAAACGACCTGTGGCAAACAAATGCTAGCATACCATTCTGCATTAACCGTTCTTTGTCCCTCAAGAGGAATAGTCGTAACATGGCCGGTTTTGGAGACAAACGTGGCCACCATTTTTTTTGCAACACTCCGTGAACGAACAATTTTTGTTGGCTTTAACTCATTTTCGAACATCCAAACTCGTGACTGGTTTTTTGTTTCGGGTTCGTACGCATATATTCAGGATTCGTCACCTGATACGATATTGTATACAGCATTTGAGGATCCTGCGTAAAATCTTTCGAGAGTTCTGACGCACCAAGTGACGAGAGCCGCTTTTTGCTCTTCACAGAGCGAATGCGGTATCCATCGGGAAAACAACTTTTTTACACCTAATTGTTCATGCAAGATTATTTGTATTTGACTCATGCCAATGTCTAAAGTTGCCTGAATTTCGCGGTATGTCACATGTCGATCTTCCTCAATCAGCTTACGCACAGCATCAACGTTTTCTTAGGTGACTACAGTTTTTGGACGACCTTGACGGGGATCATCACTGAGTTTGACATGTCCACGTTGCAAATTCAGCAAACCAGCAATAAATTGTGGTTTTGGATGGGGCTTCATCACCAAATGCAGAAATCATCCGGTCAACACACTGTTTTTGTGTTAAACCACTTCGAAAGTCATAATAAATCATCGCTCTTGAATTTTCTCGAGTCAATTCCATTTTCTCAACGACTAAACAAGTTTGACAAAACCTTGTGACAAGACCGAGAATCTTTTTTTAAATAAATAAATGGTATTCGATTTTTAAAATCAAGGACTTTTAAATTAAAAAGATTTTAATATGACAGGAATAGTGGAAATATTCCATTCCCGATACTTTAAGTGCAGCCTAGTAACTTTAGAGCTGATACAGATTATTTAAAACAAATAATTAGAATCAAAAATATTTAGAATCACTATATCAATTAGCCGTCTGATTACAAATTGAACATCATTTGGTATATTTTTTTTTATAGAATAAAGGTGACAAACGAGCACACGGTCCACCTGATTGTAAGTGGATGCTGTGGCCCATAGACATCTACATTTATCTTCAATTAAGAATCAAAATTCAGAAGCGTTGTCACCCGTGAGGACTAAGATGGAATGCCTCGTTTCCAGTAAAAAGGGTCTCCGGTTCTCTACACTCACCATACGAAACACAGCAGCATTAATCTTTTATTATTTCAAAATTATTTCAAAGCATCAATCTGCTAGTTTACGCTGGTATTCTGTGATAGCATGGTCCTACCCCGGTCGAGCCGACCCATTCGTGCTATACCACTGTAGACCAATATGTTTTATTTAAAATATTGACCTCCATGTTTTCTCCTATGTGTTTTAATTATTCTCCGGGCTTTGTGTAACTGTCAATCTGTATATCCTATTCACTACTTCATTATCATTACAACCTCTTTTACACTTCTTGACTGCCTCGTTGGTCTAGTGGTGTGGGTTCGAATCCCGGGTCGGGCCAAAAAATTAGTTATTGAGTTTTTCCGTCAAGAAATTCTCAGTAGTTACCCAGAGTCAGGAAGTTGGCGGTGTCTCACCCCCGTGCCTCGGAAAGCACGTAAAGCCGTTGGTCCTGCGCCTGATCTCTCTCCGGTCGTGTCGGTTTACCGTCCCATCGGATTATGGGAGTGAAGGAATAGAGACTGCACCTGTGCTTGCGCATTCACTTGGGCACTATAATCCTGTCCTGCACCGATGGCTAGTCTCCGTTGAAGCAGGCTGCCTTGCCCGATATTTGGTCTGGAGGACATTATCATTACAACCCTTCGAAAGTCCACTGATGGACATAATCCTCTCCCAAGGATCGCCACGAAACATCTAGTGAAGAGTGCCCTAAATAAGAATCTTATTATGTGTAAATATATATGTGAAAGTTTGTGAATATTATTGGATGTTCATTACACACTCACTCGTAAACGCCTAAATAGATTTTAATGAAACTCAATGAGCTGACCGATTAGTGAGTCCAAGTGAGGTTGACATTTTGGAAAAAAGCATCGTAAAAGACGTAAGTTCTTAACTTGGGAAATGCATGACAACATATTCTTGTAGCCACCTGTAGATGGCATTATAATAAAATTCTTAGACCTGCGTGGGTAAGCAGCGTCGAGAGAAGCAGCATCGTCTGGTATTGCGATTAACAATCTAACTTTCAAGCGCAGGGATTACTGCAAATTCTCTCCACTTTGGATAAGTTAGGCGATTGATGAGGGCGTTTCTTTTAAGACTACTAGCAGTGATATAAACACTAATTCAATTTGTAATTATTTTTACAGGCGACGAACACTTCAAGTATACCGTACAACTTCATGATATAGTCAGATGGGGAGACGTTCGAAGCTCTCGGTTGGAGAAGACGGTCGCCTCTGTTTCCTCAGTACTCTGCGGATGCCTTAGTGTTAGATTTTATAGGTAATCTTTAAAAAAAGTTTTGGCTATTTTAAGTACATAAAAAAAATTCAATATGTTACAGCCAGGAAATTTAGGTAATACCTGTTACCTTTTTTGCAGTGAACACTGCATGTGTATCCAGGAATCACAGCCGACACATTTTAACCCATTTAAATAAGTATAACAACAAATTAAGTTATTATGCCAAAATCAATTATATAAAATATACATATTACATAACCTGTGCATATCAATGGAAAGGCCTGTTGATAGACAAAGGCAGATAACAAATAATTTTTAATCTATAATTCGTTTACAAATTTGAAGATATTGTTAGTCGAAAATCGTCAATAGTATTTTCACTGCTTGCGGATCATACACATTACACGGCCAGTATGATTCCAGGCTGGGAGGCATTCAGTAGGCCTCAGAGGTGACAGCACATCTGTGACCTTCTTGGTTTTAAGTTGGCTGCAGCCATTTTTATAAGATAGGGAGGCAAACGAGCACATCACAAATCAGATTTTAAGGAAAATAAATAGGGAGTTCCAAAGGGTAGTTTTTTCCGAATGTAACTAAACACAAATGCAGTTTATTTGCTGACGACATACCTTTAATAGTGAAAACAGATGGTAAATAATCACTAAAAGACCACATTAATGACATTAACGGTACAGTAAAAACAACAATTGAACGGCTTAAAAATAATAACCTACTTGTAAATCTTGACAAAACTTATTTTATAAATTTCAATGACATTATACCAGATAATGAACTTTTATTTTGAAGTACAAACATTAAAAAGTACAAATATGACAAAATTCCTAGGTATGTGGATAGATCAAAAACTAAATTGGAAACGTCAAGTTGGACATGTTTGTAAAAAAAGTAAATAGATTTTCGTACGCACTTTATGAACTAAGCAAAGTAGCCACAAAAAATACTGCACTTACTGCGTACTTCGCATATGTGGAATCCGTTCTGCGATACGGGCTTTTACAGTGTGAGTCTTTATAAAGTGCACATATCAAAACCAGGGTAACTACATATAATTTCATCGACGGAAAATTTATAAGAAAAGTTATAAGAAATTTTAAGAATTAAAGAATTTTTTATGAATATTTTAAAATTTGAAATTGCAGCAGCTCACCCTATTTAAATAAATTGTTATAACTTTTAAACTGAATGTTCTGCCAAAATTAATAATAAGCCGTGCCAATAAAGTAAAAATGTCCAAAAAAACACTATAAAATTAGAATAAAGAGGTATTTGATGAAAATATGGTATTTTTTTCATCTTTTTTACAATAATTTTAAAATTTCTCGAAAAATCGTCTTATTAATCCTTTTTTATCCTATGTTATTCTACTTCGTATTATAGCTTTCTAATGGTAAAAAATGCAAGTTTATCACTCAAATGCAACCATTTCTATGAGTGTTTGAAAAAGCCCTTGCGTTTGCGGATCGTTTAACTACGCACTCGCAATTGTTTATCAGGCAGGTAGAGACCCTTTCGTATGGGTGATTCATTGTAGAGGCGAGCGGGCTGTAGGTGCGGGTCCGGGGAGGCGTGTCCAGTCGAAGGACAAATGAATGAATTTTAGTCGCTCCGAACTATTCGCCGCTGCTATTCGTGTTTTTCTACTGCCAAAGTCGTTATCGCGCCACGCGTTCGCTTTATTGGTCGCGATGCTGCACATAAGTGATTTCTCTCCGGCACACATCGCCGATATCCATTATTGCTATGGAATGTACCGGGGCAGTGCTAGAGCTACTCGCACTGCTATCTAGCTGCGTTTCCAAATCGACGCCCTGCGCCATCAGCCCGAAACTTCCAGGAGGTCCATAGAAGACTGGCTAAGACTGGACTTACTTTTGCTCGAGACCGCCGCGAACCATGTGTTACTATTGATGCTGCTATTGGGAAAGCCATTTTGAATGATTTGTTTGCTGACCCGAGTGTAGTACACTCGGCGTCAAAAAAATCGCACATCCGAAAAAAATAATTTAAATACTATTTTAACACAACAGGCCAATGGCAATGTTGTGGTTTGAGGGTATCATTCGAAAGGTAATTTCATTAGCTTTCAGGAATTTAAATTGAATTTTTACTTTTATGACTAGACGAAAGAGAAATTAAAGAAAAAGACAGGGTATGTACACATTTGCAAATTAATAATTTAAAAAAAAACTTAATAAATACAAAAAAAGTTCTTAAAACCTAGTGTTACCCCTCTTTGCCTTGATAACGGCTTCCATGCGATCTTTCATGGACCTTACAAGGGTCGCAACAGCCTCTTGGGGTATTTGTTCCCACTCTTCAAGTACCGCATCTTGGAGCTCTTAAAGAATGGTTGGAGCTGGATCTCGAGCTGGCACGCGCCGTTTTAGGTCATCCCAGAGATGCTCTATTGGGTTAAGGTCTGGACTTCGTGCTGGCCAATGCATAACAGGGATATCGACCTCCTGTATAGTGTTGCCCAAATGCAAGAACAAGACGAGACTTAGCCAGTCTTGGTCTTGGTCTTGCGCCAATACGCACCTGGTCTTGTTCTTGGTCTTGGTATTGCGCTCTCAGTCTTGTTCTTGGTCTTGGTCTTGCAGCAAGAGTCTCGCAAGTCTCGCAATTACCTATTAGCCTGTTGTTATTTATTAAACGTTACTTTAGATCTTAGAGCAACTTAACGGAGTAGGCACATTTTGAGCTTGAATTAACATAGCCATAGAAAGACCAACCAAATTAATTAAATGTCTAAACATTTAATGAGAAATTCGAAAAATCAACTAATACCGGGTGGGGTTTGAACCCACGACCTAAGCGATCCGTGCCGATGCTCTAACCAACTGAGCTGTCTACCAAGTCTCACGGCCACGGGAGTTAGTCTGTTTCTTAATAAACGTTTACATTTAATAAGCTTACATGTGCTAAAACTTAATCAAAACGTATAAAAAACAAGTTAATGACATTAACTTGACTGTATTATAAAGAACATTATCTGTCTAGAAAGAGATTGATAGACCCTTATATGAAATGGAATAAAAGAGTTATACAATTTACCATTTATTTAAATAAAAAAATAAAATACAATACAATTTAAATTACATAACAGTACATAACAGCTTTGCCATTACTGTTACTTTATATTAATTCTTTTGACCAAGAATTAATACAAAGTAACCATCTGGCTTAATCATCACTTAACCTATTTCTATGTTTTCTAATTACTAATGATGCTTTAGAAAATAATCTCTCAGCAGGTACTGAAGTTGCAGGTATTGAAAGACAATCACGGGCCATCTTCGATAAAGTCGGATATTCTGTCTCATGCGTCCTCCACCACTCTAAAATGTCTTCCGAACTGGCGGCTCTGGGTTTACTTAGGTACTCCTCCAACTCGTCTATAACTAAGCCTTGATGAAAAGATCCAGATCCAGATGACGTCGAGGGACATGCATACAATTTCTCAAAGTCTATTACGTCTTCATCTTCATCATATTTCTTACATACTTTCTTTTCATTTCTTGGTGATTCTAGAGATGTAGACTTTTATATTCTTTATAAAGTTCATTAAATTTGCGCAGGCTTTCTGTTTTAATTTGCTTCCCCCATAATGTCATGTCAAAAGTCTGAGTCTTATGCCTTGGGTCTAAAATTAAAGAGGTACAATAAATCCGGTTGCTCTTCTTATAATGTTTAAGCATTTTGTCTCGAGCTGCTTGAAAACCCAGAATGAGCCTTTCATCCACTTCGGATCGATTAGGTTTCTCATCTAATTGTTTTACCATGGATTCAATTTTATCGAGCAAGAGATTGAATGATACAATGACTAGCGGTAATGTAACATATTTTTCTCCACCAAGTTTCGATGATTAGAAGTTTAAAGTTTATTAGAAACTTATGTATTTTGTCGAGTATTTGCCGTTCGCTATCTGTGATTTGAAAATCATTCAATTCGGTGACAGAAGTGCACAATATGTTAATGCCAGTTCTCATTTTTAAACCAAATCCAATCATATCATGTGTGGAATTCCATCTCGTTGGACAGTTGAGTATGGGGTTCAGATTTGATGGCACGCCAGCTGCTTCACAAGCAGACTGAAACTTCCTCTTCAATATCTCACTTCTTTTTATTTTACTGGAAATACTGCGTAATTTTGTTATAGCTGTACGTGAGTCAGCAATATTTGGCGCATATTCTTCATCCTCCTCAGTTTCGTCTGAAGATAATGCTTCATACTGCTGTTCTTGTCCCTTATTGTCAGTTTCACTGTGTAATGCTAAGGTCTTTAATAAATCTTGTACACCAAGGTTCAAAATGTGAGCAAAGCACTGGAAATGTTGATTGTCTGAATCAAAGTGTGGCAGCTGTTTGTCCAATTCATACATAAATTTGGTATTTGCAGTTGCGTTGTCGACCGTGATACCCTGTATTTTATCAGTTATGTCATATTCTAATAAACATTCGTGGAAAATCGTTGCAATATCTCCCCCAGTATAGTACCCCGCAGTAACTCCTACCAGCAATTGACGTCCATCTATCAATTGGTAAATGACATTTTAGATGAAAATTGTTGTAGTCGTTTCTTAAAATTCAATTGAAGCTCTTTAAACCGTTCTTTGACCTTCCTTCTAAGTGTGGACCTTTTAGGAAACACCATTTTTTAAGCAGATATTTTTTAACCATCCAATCAACTGTAGTTATAAATACATATTTAACACTATAATCTATAATTATATATATATATATATATATATATATATATATATATATATATATATATATATATATATATATATATATACTCACTGACTGACTAAACGATATCTCAGGAACTATAAAACATACAAACTTGAAGTTTGTAAGGTAGGTTCCTTTTATGGCATAGAGATCAGTTAAGAAACTGTTTTGAGGAAAATCTATTCCTAA